TTTAAAAAATTAGAATCCATGCCGAAACCGGTTTGGCTCAGTGGATAGAGCGTCGGCCTGTGGACTGAAAGGTCCCATGTTTGATTCCGGTCTAGGGCATGTACCTTGGTTGCGGGCACATCCCCCGTAGGGGGTGTGCAAGAGGCAGCTGATCGGTGTTTCTCTCTCATCGATGTTTCTAACTCTCTATCCCTCTCCCTTCCTCTCTGGAAAAAATCAATAAAAATTTTTTTTTTAAAAAAAGAAAGAAAGCAGCTGTCTGTCCTGGCAAGTGACTGGTCTTCTGTAAAAATTGTCCCTGGGCTCAGGAGGGCTTGTGTTACACATGTCACATAGCTACCTCGTGACCCAAGAACAGATCTGAAATACAGCTCTGTTGGAAAAGTGATGGGTAGAAGTTTTTTGTGTTTTATTTTTGTTTGTTTGTTTGTTTGTTTGTTTGTTTTTCTGTGTGAGCAAACTTTATTTGGGTCCCTTCTAGCAAGGTTACTAATAGTTGTTAGCTGGGAGGATGATGTGGTTTCTCGCAGGCATTGCCAGCGAGACTGGCTCTGTCATACACTGCTTAGCAGAAGGGTTGGCCCGGGTTCTAGGTGGGCCTCTCTGCAAGGCCCCTGGAACTTGGACTACAGACACTCTGATGCTGATCAGAAACGTCCTGGCATCATAGGGAGATCTGTGAGTAAAGACCCTCCTGTTTCAAGTTACATGACTAATATAAAGTGATTCCCCCAAGGTCAAGAGCCAGGCAGTTCTGTCTCCTGACCAGTAATCAAGTATCAGGGGACCAGATCTTCCTGGGCTTGCCTCAGGGCCCCCTAGCCAGTTCCTTGTCGAGGGTGTGAAAATGAACGAGGACAACTGGGACAAAAGCCTGTCTGGGACCAGGATTTCTAGCCTCCTCAGGCTCATTCTGATGAGGTGTGTGGCACGGAAACAGAAGAACACGGACTCATAATTCTCACTGGATTGTTTACTTTGTACCATGTAGTTTTTGCCTTTCTTTATTAAAGCAGAAATGGATTCATGGTTACAAAGCCTGTGACATTATGGGCCTGCATTGTCCTTGAACTGCTCACAGACTGAACACTTGTTATCTGAGGAGCCCTATGCTCCTCCTCCTCGGCCTGGTCAGGGTCCTCTGATGGAGTCATGACTGAAAGGTCAGTGATCAGTGTGGAATAGCT